TGCAGATGCATCCACTCCTTGTGACTTTTAATAGCCAAAAAATACCAAATAGTTCTTCGATATTACTATTCTGTTTGCCTTGTATCTCTGTTTTTACTGTCTCTGTTTTGCATTTATTGATGAAATCCTTGTTTTATTTGTTTTGTCTCATTATTTGGGTTTTTCGTGCAAGCCCCAGTTTTTGACACAGTATTCCAAATAACTAAAAAGAAAGTGACCAGCATATATACATACATACTTAAATTCACTGAAGCGAAAAAGTACCACGGCTTTGTAGGAATTCTTCTACACAGAATAATTTTTCTCTGGGAAACTGACATGTGATCAAGCCGACCACATCAGGAGGGAGACAGATACATTACATGACATTCTATGTACCATTTGCTTCCATCGCCGAGCGCCTGTGTCATGTTTCGAAACCGTTGAACACTCATCAACTATATATCCAGATAGACAGTGTTGTGTGTGACATTAGTTAGTTAGAATGGCCGTTTATTAACGAATATGACACTTCCGCGCTCCGTCTTCGCCTTCCTCTTCTTCCTGTTATTCTCCTCTTCACATGGATCCCAGTCTGATGAGGCATATACACATGCAAAACTGTGCTCAATTAGGAAAGGAGGAACAATCAAGAAGACAAATATCACTCACTATTCCATTCAATACACCACCTTATATTCCTCCTTATATTATTCATAAATTATAAATACATTGTGCGTAATAATCATCTAGAAATACCCTGGATGGATTAATTAGGTAGGTAGGCAGGTAAGTGAACAAAAGTGCATTCGCGAGAAATATGACTGTACACACACACACACAGACCGACAGACACACGCACTGGTGTACCAGACTAGTTAGTTTGTTCTTCTTATGATTGTGATTGATGCAGTTGACTCTTCGCCACCTCCTCCTGCTCCTTCTTCTTCTTCTGCTTTCTCTTCATTGTAAACCTAGAGCAGTGTTCACAAGTTGAACAAAGCCTAATATCACAGGTTGCCAAGCAACTAGATAACGAACCCAATCCAATAGATTCCCGTATAAAATATGCGGTTTATCCCATCTAGAAGGAGCAGCACCGGCACCAGCAGCAGAGTAGTAGTAGGTGTTGTTGTTGTTGTTCAGAGAAAGACAATTAAGAAAGTTTAGCGTGCAAATGTATAAGCAATTTAAAACAAGAAAGATACAGTTCAAACCTTACCACTTTGACAACCGCTAGCTAAAGTCAGCCTAATCCTGAGGAGTATTCAACTTATTATTATTATTATCGATCATATTGACGACTGAATTTTAGCCTGTAAAACTACAATCATTATTGTTATCATTTCTTCAGGTTCCGAGTGGTCCTCTTTAGCTGCCTCTACAATTGCTAATAAACTCTTATCTCCTTCATGTCACCCTCGGTTACCCCACTCGTTCTTTCCACTCGACAGTCCACTTGACGTGAGATGTCATCTGACGCTTCCCTCAGTATGTGTCCGCTGATTCATCCCCCTATCTACCCCCACCACCCTCAGCATAGATTTGTGAGGTATTCATTAGTAAGGTTCTTGTCAGAGTTCCCCTGGTTCCCCTATAGCCCGGTCAGTCATTTCATCCTCTGTATCAAGCCAGCAGTTAGGGTATTCGTTTATCAAGAGTGTCTGCAGTAGGCGCTATTTGGAAATGCTTTCGCTAAAGACGTGTACACCAAGTTTCTGGTGCCTTCTGGTTTGGAGAAGCACCAACATGACGCATAAGTGTTGAAAATATATATGAATCTTGTTCATTATAATGCACTGAGGACTGAGCAGATTTCTCTTCACATATTACACTGATTTCGGAAATAGTAATAATAAGGTCTGTTGTCTTCATCGATCCTGCCTGAGGCTTTCTTTGGCTTCCATGCTCTCATCAAATTCCGGCTGTAATTGAATTGAAACAATGCTGACTGACTGAGCATTAGATAAGTGTGGAAGAAGTGACTTCCATCGAATTTCTTGTGTTCACGATGATTAGTCGTGGTGTCTTCATCACCTACCTTTGTCTTCTCTATGTCTGCTTGAAATCCTGTCTTCACCGCCTTCTCGCTCCCCACGAATGGCGGTATGATTATTCAATTCATCACAATCAGGAATATCATCACCGTTGACAGTAGCAGGTAACCCTGTCTTTCTGCTGTTCTCACTAAAAACGCTTAACTAAGTAATCCGTTGTGAGTCACTTGGTAGCCCCATATTATTATTATTGTATTGTTGTTTCCTTTAATTTCTAGAGGAACGAAGGGCTTCAGCCGAACGTCTCCATTCCTTACAGGGTTCTCCACCAACGTTTTCATCACCTGGCTTCACGTCTGCCTATATGCTTTCATCTCCTCTTCACATGACCTCCTCCATGTCACCTTCGCACTGACGACCAACTCGCCGCTTCCCATTCGGGTTCCAGTCGAGTGATGGCTGAGCGTGTGATGTCACTCACTTGATGACAGTTTGTTTTCTCAGAGTATGGCCAGCCAATCCACCTAACTTTATTTCTTACTGCATGCATATTTGTTGCACAATCGGTTCCTGCTGGGCTGGTTGGTTCGTTCGCTCCCAGAGATCCGTGTTGGCGATCTTTTCTGGCCGGCCATCTGATCTTCAGTAGTATTGAGAGAAGACAGCTATTGATGGAGGTCTGTAGTTTGTTCGAAGTGGCCTTCGTGACGCACTGGCCAAGTCTCCGATCCGTATGGTAAGTAGCACTGACGGACTTCACATTGGAATTGAAAATCTGGATCTTATTTTCCATGCCGGGTGCTGTTGATCTCCACACAGACTCGACAGTAGTGAAACCTTGTCTTGCTTTCGCGATCCTTGCTTTAATATCCTCATCAGCTCCGTATGTCTGTAGCTGAAACGATGCTTCCCAGGTTGGTAGGTAGAGGAAGTTGATTCTTTCAGATTCCTCCCTATCATACAGGCTGATTGTGGTCTGTTGTTGTTGTTGATGTTGCTGTTGGCCATGAATCTTCATCACCACGTTTTCTCTATGTTCACCTCAAGTCGTATCTTCTCTGAATGCTTCTTCTGCCAACTTGTGGCTTTTCACTTGCATATCTTCCAGTTTGTGGCAAATCAGACATATTTCATCATCAGCGAAGTCCAGATCCTCCGCTTTTCGGTATCCCCATACAGCTGTTGGCAAAAGTTTCGGGTACTCTGTAATGTTGAAGTTACTTTCCAAATCACTTCACGATCAACGCTAGCTATCGAAGTGCCCTTTTCAAAGTCAGTGAAGTTGAGGCATACATAGTGTCGACTGCCATTCTATGCTCTCTCTGTTCCATGACGATTCGTAGGGTTGCGATTTCTAATTCAAACATAATTTGCTTTTCCTCAACCCTCAGCTTGTTCAATACGATGTTCTGCATCCAACCATGTTTCCACGTTCTCTAGGATGACGCAACTATTTATATTTTCAAGTAAATTGGTAGATGGTGACTAGCTGTGTGGAATCCACAATGCGCAATTCACCCCCCCCCCATCTTGGACTCAGCAACTGGGTGTACCTGTGTTCTCCAGTGAGTCAGTGATGCTGTTCCCATTCCAGCTCGAACCCAATACCCGTAGTTTCAAACGCCAAGGTGTGTTATCCACTACACCACTCAGGCTACGAGAATCACCTCTTATGAATTAAATAATCATTCGTATCCATTGCACAAGAGGTGGTGGTGGCCCTCATGACTTCACTGGTCTAGTTAATGACGCTTTGACGTCTGAAATTATGGCTAGTGGGTTCGAGTCTGAGTGGGATGGAACACCATCACTGACTCACTGAGGAATGCAGGTACATCCAGCTAGCTGACGACTCGGTCCCACTGACTGAATAGGACGAAATACGCCTTCTCTGGATTCCACTGCTAGTCACAATCCACCAAATTTACTCCAAGTCAAAATAATCAGACATAGTCGAGGTATCTATCTGTACAAGGAGCCGCCAACTTGTTATCCTGACGTCGAGCACTTCGGCCCACTCAATCAATCAACAGGAAAGCCTAAATTGTGAATTAAACGTAATTACATTTCGTTTAGCATATAGACAGAGGAGAATGAATGATGTACCACACCTATAAAAATATACTACTGAAATAATAAAAAGTAGATAGAAAGACATCAGACAAAAAAGGATACGGATTCGTAAATGTTTGCTTTAGGTTCACCTTCTCATTACAATATGGACATGTATCTTTCTTCCCGATGATACACCAACCTCGTATACAAAAATCATGGAAGCTAGAAATTTTATAGATAAAATAATGTTAAGGAATATTGCAAAATTACTTTCATATATTTCAATCAACAGAATACAATAGAACGTGTACACACATTGACTAATGTCTTTCATGTTTCACCATCTATAGACATCATCAGCCTACATTATTCCCATATAGCGAAGTAATGTGAAGTGGTTACATACAACGATATATATGGACGATAGACGTCCCATCGTTCAAACATTCGTTTTCAAGATTCATTGCAAACTGTGACTTCAATTCGGGAGTCGTTGAAACCCAAGAACTGTCTGTCTGTATTCGACATAGAACTTTGCACATATATGCACCAGTTCAAGTCACCGCACTTCCCTCATGAAGCACACAGAGCAAGAGAAGAAAGTAGAAGAAATGCATAATAGAGATAGTAGACAGAGGTGGGAGACGAAGGAATAGTAATAGCGAAGGACAATATAGTTTCATTGGAAATCATAAGAAACAAGGAGTGCATGCACCTGCGCTAGCCTTTGAGAACGTAACTGGAAGGTGTCCTCGGTTCGACCCCCGGCAGTGGATGTGAACTGCCGATAAGTCTCAAACTTATTGGGACGAAACGGCTACACACTACTGCCTGTTGGTTTTCAAAGATTTTCTAACTCATATCAATCCGTGGACAAACTTCAAATACGAACCTGTTTAGTAAGTGGTTAACTAGATAGATGGGTATATCTGCTCCACTTCCGTGAGTGACTATATTCCCACTGATCCCCTTAAAGGTCAGTGGACCGCGAGAATCATCTTTTCTGTAACGGGTACGCCTTGAAATCCCTCATGTTTGTAATTACCTGTTGATATGTATATATAATATTTGTAAAATCTCAGCGAGATTGAAATGAGTAATTCCAACGTTTCCTGTGTTCGGAAATCTCGTCCGAACTTCTTCAGGGAAATTAATCGAAACTTACATAATAAACAAAATTATATGAGCTGTGATCACACTCTGTTTAAAGTGTTTAACAAAGGTAGACCAAAAAATTTTTTAAGTCCGAGGTCAAATTTTGATCACAGCTCATAAAATTTTGTTTATTATACTTCTTGTTGAATGACTCATGATTGGACAAAGTTTTTAAAAACAAGTGATGTTCCTTTTACATATAAAGCTCTCCTATGCAAGTTTCGATTAATTTCCCTGAAGAAGTCCGGACCAGATTGCTGAACGAAACATTGGAACTACTGATTTCAATCTCGCTGAGACTTTACAAATATAATTTTTTACAAGTGTCCTTTCTCACTCGGCGCCCAAATATTTTAGAACTATTCTGTCAAATCTTGAAAACAGTTCACAGACTGTATTTGGTGACGATCTCATCAGAGTGGTTGACTGGACTAACACATTTCAGATATTTCCAAGTCTGATCACGGATTGATATCAGGTTAGAGAACCATTGAAAAACCGGCGGTCCTAGTTACCAGACTCATAGACAGTACACACCTACCTGGGTTCGAACCCACGACTTTCTGGTTACATGACAAGCTCGTAGATCATTCAGTTACAGATGGCGGACTCAGTGACGTAGTGATGATGAGTCCTAGAACTAGGACAAAACCACCTCTCCAGTAGTACTCCTTACCTTGTTTTTAATGGTTCTCCAACCGAAGAACAAATCACATCCCTACAAAACTATTTCTTTGAAATTGCGGGTATTTTCCAAAGACGATAATTAGAAGGGTTCAAGAATTTCAAAGAAAATCATATCATTGACGACTAAGGTGGTTTGGAGAAAATGCTTAATACCCCCCTGATTTTTATAGATGGGAGGTTAATAGTAATCACACTTTCTATTTAACCTTAAGTCGAAGAGAGGTGATAATTAAAGGCATCGTGATAATTAATCACTGTTGGTATCAAGCACATTCGCAACAGAAGAGTATTTTCTGATTATCACGTATCCCTACTGAGAAAAAGGGGAGAAGAAATCAGGAATATCATAAGCTGTGATAATTCATTTGCACGAGACAGATATATCATGCAAAAGACCATGAACCAGGCATCGTCTATGAAAACTGATTTATTATTGTCTTCAGGATTTCATCGTGAGCTGACATCGGTTGGAGAATAATTGGAAAACAAGGCAGGGAGTACTGGACAGCCAACTGTTTCGTCCCAGTTTGTGATTCTTCAGCATCATGCACCCGCCGCCAGGATTCGAACCCAAGACCTTCCGGTTACCAGGCTAGCGAGCTCATAGACCACTAAACCACTGGGACTCGATCCAATGGCCAGTGCATGAATTTCAACTCCTGCCAATTCACGAGATAGCCCGACAGCTAGCCAACGTCATCGATGGCGAGTATTTGTCCTCACACCCAGACCTGTTGCACCCTACTGGTCACGACATCCCACTAGAACCCCAGGTAACTACCTACCTACCTGAATAGGACCAGTCGCCAGTGAGCATCTCATTGATTTTCGAGTATTGGTTTATAGGGAATTTTGTTTTGATTGGTTGATTGTTATGCTACATTATGGGGACCAAATCTCGTAAAATTGTACGAGGATTAGTATACTCTCCGGACGCCTAGATCAAATCAGGTAGTTCTCTTTAGGGACCACCACCACCCTCCCCGCAAGCCATTAACTTGAATTCTGAAGTACAAGGTAGGGAAGCGAGCACTGTCAGGAGTTATGTCCTCATGGTTGCCAGAACAGGTTCTCATATGCCATTCGATCCGTTCGGATTCTGGAATCCATGTACACCACTACTGTAGAAGTTTAGAATCAGGGTTTTCCTGTTCCCACTTCTCCCTAAGGGATACGTGAATATCCAGTAGTCTGGGGGGTGTAGGCGCGCCAGCTGTTCAAATTCACCCTTTCACTTTTGCGAGGAATACACCTCCATTGTGTGAAGGGCAGTGAATAGGAGTTTGCCTGATAGTGACTATGAGCTTGAAGCCCCATAAGAGTATTTAGACAGTAAGACTAAAGTCGATTCACCCTGGGCCGTATAAGTACTGACGATACTACCACTCAGTCAGCTGGTTACCCAGAGTGAGATTCGAAGAATCTGCGACTCCTATTTATACTTGAAACTCGAGTTGCTTAAGTCGATGATGAGTTGCGTCCACCACCCCCACCCCACCCCGAAAAATAAAATGGACCACAAAAAATGATATGAAACAAACAGTAAGGATACACATGAGTACAATTGAGTCGATGAACTTTTTCTCCACTATCTGTTGTTAAATCATTTGTACATATTGAGCATATAGATGGATCAATTCGTCGAACTGGCATACCATGTGGTACTCGATACTAAAAATTTAAAAAAATAAAAACAACATTAAATCAATCAATAAATAAAATTTGAACAAAGCAAGAACAAGAACAATTGTACCAGAAGATAATATGAGCTCATCTTTTATAATTATTATTTCGAGGATTCTTCTCAACTGGTTACAACCTGAACGATAAAAATATATATGAATTACATTACATTAAAGATTTGATGAGCATACTTTTCCACGATCACAAGAAGGAATTGGTTGGTAGGAAGTGTAAAAGTAACATTAGACCGGAATGATTTAACTAATTAAGAGTTACAAACACTGACTATTTATAGAATAATAAGACAATTAGGCTTGGAAACAAAAACAGAGTTGCGTATACATATATATATATATATATATATATATATATATGTATAGAAACAAGGTTTAGCTCGCTCGGTCGGTCGGTATTCGACATAGAACTTTGCACATATGTGCGCCAGTTCAAGTCGCCACACTCCCTCCTTGTAGCACACAAAGCAAGAGAAGAAAGTAGGAGAAATGCAAAATATAGACAGTAAACAGAGGTGTGAGACAAAGGAATAGTAATAACGGAGAACAAAACAGTTTCATTGGAAATCATAAGTCACAAGGAGTGGATGCATCTGCGCCACCCATTCACAACGATTTTGAGCCATGTCACCAATTGTTTCCAACCATTGGTTTTTACCGTCCCGAGGACCCCAACCAGGAAGTCTACATCTTCCTACGTGGCTTAGACTAACTGTTGTGGATTTCATTGAGTGGTGCCATGTTTTCGTTTGACTGCCGCTAGCTCTTTTCCAGCCTGGTCGTATATCATCTAACATTGCCCGTCCAGGAAGGCGATGACTAGGCATACGTAGCACATGTCCTAACCATCTCAATCGATGTAATTTCACAGTCTCATCTATTGATTTCCCCGCCTTACCTAGCACTCGACGCCTAACCTCAGTATTGCTCACCTTATTGTACCACTTCACACGGGAGATAGAACGCAGACACCTATGATCGAAGACAGCTAATCTTTTCATGTCTTCTGCTCTCAATGGCCAGGTCTCACAGCCATAGAGGAGGATGGGGCGGACTGCTGAGCAGTACACACGCCTTTGGTCGATAGTCGGATATCGCGTCTACGCCAGAGACGGCGTAAACTGGCATATGCGAAACTAGCCCTCTGTATTCGTACTGAGATTTCATCGGAGATCAACCCGTTGGGGCTGATGGTACTTCCCAAGTAAGTGAAGCGATCAACGTGCTCTACCACTTCACTTCCTATTTCTAATCTAGGGGTCGGTGTAGAAAGAGTATAACAAAAATAGTATATTACGTAACTAAAGAAAACTTTTTATCTAATAGCCAATAGAAAAAGAAGAGAAAAGAAGAAGGTAGGGTGAATCATGTTTAGATGAGAGAGTAGAGTTTTCTAAACAAGAAAAACGGTGACTCATAAAAGTTGTATATATTTTTTTGTTATCACCAGGGCAGTGCAAGATTCACCACTGTCTCTTTCTGAGTACACATAGATTTGGTTTAAGTCGTTTGATAGCAATTGCTTCAGCAAAGCGTACCCAGCTAGGTTTCTTTTGCTTGTTGATTATTTTGAACGACTTCAAGTTGTCTACAATATGACCAGTGTCTAAGAGATGACGCGCAATTGCACTGTTTAATGCTTGTAGACCTTTCAGTCTCAGGTTCTTTGGTATGTGTTCAGAAATGCGGACAATAACCCTTCTCTCTGTTCTTCCGATGTATGTGCTTTAGCACGTACATGTAAACTGGTAGACGCAGTTAGAGGTAAAATGAGGATTGTTTTCTTATCTTTTTTAACTGAAGAAAATTTATAGGCTTAAGATTAATGTGAGGGAGAAATTGTCTACCACTAGTACAGGACTGGACTAAATCGAATCGCTCCTACCTTAAAGACAGGGAGGGAGTGAAGTGGTTGATAGAGCGTCTTGATCACCTCACTTATTCGGGAATTTACATCAGCCAGCACAAACGGGTTGATCGCTGACGAAATTTCAGCATGGATGCAGAAGGCTCGTTTGATATTTCCCAACTTACGCCATCTCTTGCTGAGTAGATGTGATATCCTGTTGGTTATCGATCAAACGATGTATGTGTTTCTCAGCACCAGTTCACTCCGTCCTCCTTTACGGCTATGAGTGAGGTATGGCCATTGAGAGTGGAAGACATGAAAAGCCTGGCTAGCTGTCTTTGATTATAGTTGTTTGCGTTCTATCCCCCATGTTAAGTGGTATAGTGAGATGAGCAATAGCAACGATAGGCATAGGTCGAGTTCTAGGTAAGGAGGGAAGAGAAATCAGTTGACGAGGTTGTAAAGTTACATCGACTGAGATGACTGGGATATGTGTTACTCATGATTAGCCATCACCTTCCTCGACAACGGGCAATGTTAGAGGACATAGGGTCAGGTTGGAAAAGAGCCAGTTGTGGTCAAACGAAAATATGGTTTCATCAGTCAGTGGAATTCAAAACAGTTAGTTTAAGTCACGTAGGAAGGTGTAGACTACTGTATGGTTGGAGTCCTCGGGATGGTAAGAACCAATCAAGGCTAGAGACAATTGGCGGTGGTAAGGCTCAAAATTGTTCTCAATGGCGTAGATGCATTCACTCTTTGTGATTTATAGTATCCGAAATATTCGATTGTTCTCCCATATTGCTATTCTTTTCGCCTAACTCAAATTTCTGTTTATTATCTCTCCCTTTTGATGAATCTCTGTTTACTCTCTTGCTTTGTGTGCTACATGGAAGGAGTGTAGCAACTCAAACTGCTGCACATCTGTGGAAAGTTCTACGCTGAAACCAGTCAGTTGGGTATACCACCTAAAACACTACGGGAACTGCTAATACTCGGCTGTACGATGAGTGTGCAGCTTCAGTTATACAATTGGGGAGGCGTAGCGATAAGCTTCTCCCCTTGGGTCCTGTCTTCACCAATATCTTGTGTACGGTAAAATTAGAGAATCATTCATTGAGAAATGTAATCAATGAGCTTTTGTTCCATCGTAGATATTATGAATGATAATTTTATCTTGTATAAGAATAAAATCGATACCAAGATTCTTTCTCAAAACGTTCAATATGACCCACCCGAAAAAATGAGTTCATATATGAAACAGAGAAAGACAATACCTTATTATCATTTATTGATGTCCTGCTGCTAACAAGAAGGCAAGATGGCAGTATTAAGTGGGGTTGGTAAATGCTCCATCGTTTCAAGTCGTTTGTTTTTCATACATACAAACGAAATCTCATATTAGTATCCTGATGTTTTGTGATACGAAAATTTGCACTGCCGAGACTCTTGACAGTGAAATGAGGGAAATAGAAAACTCATTACATTATGAGAACAGATATCCAGTAAAATTTGTTAAAGACTCCACGAGGAGAACAGATAGTGGGAAATGCCTCCAAAACTGTACAGAAGAAACTTAAATATATATGACTTTACTGCTCAAAGGAAATGCAGCCATTGTATGATCAGAGTCGAAACTTCGAAAAATAAGAGCTAAAACATTCTTTTCCGCAACACTGTATAGTTCCAACACAGGTTAAGAATAAGCAGACGAGCACACTCTCTGATAACGGATGAGAAAGAAAAAGGACAAGAAATATCAAACATTACTGAGGCTCCCAAGCAAAATAGCTACCCAAAGAACTTCATCAACAAAATCAACACTGACATTAAATATGGTCGAAAACGTATTCCGAAAACATGGACCTCAACAGCTGTCATTCCATATAGAACAGAGACGTCAGACGATATCAGAAGAGTGCTCAATAAGCTCGACATCAGAGTATTCTTCAAAACATCAAACACACTGAGAAGCAACCTTGTTCATATAAAAGACTAAATCCATGAAAATTCTCTATTCAATTGTATCTATAAGATAAAATGCTTGCTTCGAATGTGATGCGATATACATCGAACAAACATCACCAGAGAGAAATCAAGATAATCGGAAGAAATGAACACTGTAGAGCCGACTCCGTTCGACCACCGAAAAATCCAGTTGAACTAGAAAAGCTTGAAAAATCATCAACCATAGATGGTCTACACGCTACGCTAAATAATCAGGCCATGAAATTGATTTCGACAATATTGAAATAATCATCCAGAAAAAGCATTTCAGAAATCACAAAGAACGTCTAACATCATCAGAAGCACTTCATATCAAGTAGAATCCAAATTGTCTGAGCTGAATAGGTATGATGGACTAAAACAGAATTTGACCTGGTTACAACACTCTACCGCTCCCCCATGAAAATGACAAACGTCATCAGTTAATATTACTGTGTAACACTGTGTGACTTATCAAAATAAAATCTTATCCATAATGGAGTTCTACTCTACCACAGTGCCCAAGTTTTAAACCTATATCAAAACCAACACGAATGTGATAAGCAATATCATTATATAAACATGCGTTGCTTTTATAATTTTACACACTTATCAAATCCAACAATTTACACCTGGTTTTGTTACCTTTACCAACGCAAAAATGACCCCATACTGAGGAACGACGAATAAATTTGTTATATATAAGCTGAGATTTTGTAAATTCTGTTTTAATAATACTTTGACAAGGCTATTAGCAGCATTAAATAGCGAAACGTCAGTAAAAACTGAGATATCGTTTTGTTTTTCATTCATTGGGAAATACACTGACTGACTGACTGGTTTCAACATAGAACTTTGCACAGATGTACACCAGTTTGAGTTGCCATACTCCTTCCACGTCCCGCACAAAACAAGAGAAGAGATTAAAGAGAGATCCATCAAAAGAGAGAGATAATAAACAGAAATATGAGGAAAAAGAAGGATAAGCTGCCCAGTCTAGAAACTTCAATATGCACTTGATAATTTAATTGTTCTTGTGGAAACAGTTACACATAGGTAGAACCACTCGGAAAGCATACCGTCGCCTTCTTGAGTATTGCCCAACATGGTCAGGTGAAGAAGTCGTTAAGTCATATTGCCATACCTTGTATATAAATGTATCACAGGATTGATAAGAAGATTCATCCCTTACAATTCTATACAAGGTGCCACCTCAACTCGCCAAGTTTGTACACCTTCCATAACTCTGAATGTAATTTTTATTTGTATTTGCATTGCTAACTTTATTAATCAATATCATGTTGTGCTATAGTTGCATATTTTGATCTTCGTTCCACAATTTATTATTATTATTCTCCTTGATGGTCGACCTTGACGCGCTTTTCGATTAGTGCGCGACACTACCTTTCCTGTTGTGATTGTTGTTGTTGTGATTACTTTATTTCTCATTTTCCTGATTCTAGAGGGAGCAACCCAGAGAGTCGCTCCTCTGTAACTTGAATATCCATGTAACAACATTATGAAGCGAAGGCAAGTCTTTGTGGAGGAGATCAACAGCACTCAGCATGAAAAATAAGACCAGGATTCGCAACACTAATGTGAAGTCATTGCTGCTACACGGAACAGAGACTTGGCGCGTCATGGAGGCCACTTCAAACAAACTACAGACCTCCATCAACAACTGCCCTCGCTCAACACTTCACTCAAGATCAGATGGCCGGCCAGAAAAGATCACCAACACGGATCTCTGACAACGAACGAACCAACCAACCAACCCAGCAGGAACCAATTGTGCAACGAATATGCATGCAGGAAGAAGTGGAGTTAGGTGGATTGTCTGGCCATACTCTGAGAAAACAAACCATCAAGTGAGTGACATCACACGCCCAGCCATAGCTCGACTGGAACCCAAATGGGAAGCGGCGAGTTGGTCGTCAGTGTGAGGGTGACACTGAGGAGGACATGCAAAGAGGAGATGAAAGCATGTGGGCAGACGTGGAGCCAGGTGATGGAAACGTTGACGGACAACCCTGGAAGTAATGGAGATGTGCGGCTGAAGCCCTATGTTCCTCTAGAAACTAAAGGAAACAATAGTAATAATAATTTCTGACTCTAAGCGCTCTTTATCGCTGTGAACAAGAGAATATCTACTCAAAATATGTTCAATCAATAATGATTACAAAAGTTTTTCAACAATCTCTAACTTACTGCTATTTTTGCAGCCATTTTATCTGTACATACTTCAGCAAAATCTCTTGCAATCACGCCATAATAAAGACCGTAGAATAAAGCCAGCATGGCTATATCCATTGCAATTTTTGTAGGCAGTAAGAACAGAAGATTCACTTGAAAAAATGTTAACATCATTAGAATGTAGCCGCCAACACCGAGGATATAAGAGATTGTATGAATAAATAAGAACCATCGATATACTCGCCTATAACAGAAAACGATTGGGAATAATAGTAATAATAATAATAACAGTGTGGAATTTTCAGCCCGAGGCGGGAATTTTCAAACAGGGTGTTCATATTGATTATTTTGTTCAATAAGAATATGAATATCACATAAAAATTTACGTGGAAATTCTCATCATGACCTGACACCTGTTAGAAAACCACTGGGGAACCAACATGGAGTATTGGACAGCCAACTGTTTCGTCCCAGCTTTGGACTCTTCAGAGGCACGCCGCCAGGGTCCGAAGCCTGAACCTTCCGATTACAAGGCGAGCTCGTAGACCGTTAAACCACTGGGGCTTGATCCAATGTCCTATGAATTCTAGCTTCTTCTAATTCACATTATGGTGTAACCTCTAGCTAATTTCATCAGCGAATATTTGTCCTCACACTCGACGTGCAGAAGCCGGAATTCATAGACCATTGGATATGGGTCCCGTTGGCTCGCTTTGTAACCGGAAGATCCTGGGTTCGAACTCTGGCGGTGGGTGCATACCTCTGAAGAGTCCTAACCAGGACGAAACATCTGACTGTCTAGTTCTCCCTGCTGGTTTTCCAATGGTTCTCTAACCAACATCAGTTCATAACTAAAATCCTGCAAACCAACAATTAAATATCAAGTGAAAATATTAACCACAATATAATAATAAAAGAAAGAATAGAAAGGGCCGTTTACTTAAAGATTCTCAGTAAGTTACTACTGTCATGCCTTACACACTTTTCTCATTACATAACATAAGTGCCAAATAAGGAATTATGAAAAAGAGAAGACGTTCAGCGAAGAGACTCTTTTCGGCGAATTCATTCACATAGCTGTACAATCGCATTTATATACAATTATTTGTGTGTGACTGGATTCTTAGAACATCTGACAGAATCCGGTCACCAAGCTACACCGCAAGCAAACTTCAAAGTCGTCTACAGAGTAAGAAGCAGTCTTCCTAAAGGTGTACGAATCAGACTTCGTCAAACTGCAGAAGCAATGGTGATTCACTTGTTAAGTCCTGAACTCTGCATACAGAAGAATTTCTTTCAATCACTGCACTTGCAATGGACGTAGTCTATCTTATTAGCCGACAAGTAAATTCTACCTAATCCTTTTCTCTTCTGTCTCTTCATTAGTATTATTTTGTCTTCTCAATTGTAATATTTTACATTTTCAACTTTCTTGTTCTCTACCCCTACCCGATTTAATTTCTACACCTCACTACCACTGTTACTGACTTGAACAACGCTCAATTTCTAGTCATTTATGTTACGTCATCCAACTTACTAACTCAATCTTACTTTAGTTGGTGTCTGATTAACCTTGTTTCTATATTAGATCATTGTTGTATTACCTGAATAATTATCTAAACTTTGTTCATCGAATCTACACCCAACACATGCAATAGGAATGAATCATCACTCATACCTGAAATATGGAAAATAATACTACCAATCAAATCAAGTGAAAAACAACGGAACTATGTAAATGAATTTAGGAAGTCGTGTGATTACCTTGATATGATTATGAGTGGCAATAAATTGTGCTCGAAACGTCATTAGTAAGCATTACTGTATAACACTGTGAGACTCTATCAAAATAAAATTTACCCATAATGGAATTAAACTTGACAAACCTCATGTGGACATACACACACAAATAATTGTATATAAATGCGATTGTACAGCTATGTGAATGAATTCGCCGAAAAGAGTCTCTTCGCTGAACGTCTTCTCTTTTGCATATGACTCAATGGAGATTTTCAAAAAATAAGGAATTGTAGAATTTTTGTACTTCATCCTTCGAGCATATAGTCTTCTATAGTTGCTTCTAGTTCTACCTGATGTGATGCAGTTGGGGAGATTTGTGTGTAGAGGGAATTCTCAGAGTCCGACAAGATGATATTCACTAATTTCTCGCAAGAGTTCAAGTGTCTATCTACAACGGTATTAACAAGTTGGTTTAGCGACAACTCACTCTCTCTCTCTACTGACAACGTAACAAAGTCTTTCTTAAGTAACCCAGAAAAGATTAAGGGAGAACAACAAAGAAGAATCGGTAGAATATAAGAGTTAAAAAACTGTAGAAGTAGGGACTGACACCGATGCCAGATTGTCTCAACTTCCTTACTTAGAACGTCAACCGATATATAATTCTATAAGTGTGCTCTTGGAAGTGAGTGGGCGGTTTTGATTTCCCGGCTGCCCACACTGTGGAAGTTGATTGAATCTTCAGGTACCTGAAACAGAAAGGGGTTAGTGTTGCGTGACAACAGAGCCCAGGGGACCACTGCTTGAGGCCGATTACACACACTGCCTGTATGAACTGGTTTCTTAGTTTGGTTCCGTATTAGTAAACTTACCGCCGGTTACGGACCACCGTAGGGTAAGTCGGGAAGTACAATTGTTAGGGTCGACATTTTCTAACCCCATCTCTCTGGAGTGGAGAGGCAGCATAGCTGGCTGGCACGCTGGTCATCTAAAGGGAAACACCTTACTGCGGCTGTTACATCCCTGTTCCCCAGTAGTAGTACTACTTCGCCCACAGACCACCACAACATAATGTAACAAAAAACTTCCTACACTATGCCGGTAACTGGTTTTAGTCTAATCGCTATCCTAACAACCTTCCTGGCATGTTAGGACCTGCAGGAACAATAGTTCCAGCCAGTGTAGCTTATTGAGTCATTGCGATATGCAAGCCTGGCGACCACCACGTCAAGGTAGCAGCTATCGGTCGGGTATTTTTCATTCCTTTTTACTTTCTTCTCTTGTTTTGTGTGTGTGTGTGTGTGTTACATGGACTGTGGTGACTTGAACTACTTACTGCACATCGGTGCAAAGTTCTATGTTGAAAGCAGTCAGTCAGGAAATGAAAGCTGATGGTGGATTATTTGTAAAGCCGACTAGAGACTTCAGAGAACAGACTGTAATGAAGATGTGCCTCTGAAACTGTATTTTTTTTTATTACAGCTTGATGCCACACCGTATTTTCAGTACAAGTATGGAATTTTCAGCATGGATATCGGTAGCCCAAATTTTGTAGGCCAACCATTGATATCGGGTGTGCGTCGGCAGGGGATCGAACCCCGCTTCATGTGCACGGTCAGGGAGAGTCCTAACCACTGTGCCACCGACGCACAGGGGACGAAAAATAACAATAATAATGGGAAGTAAAAATGTTATTCAACATTTGAACGAGAATACGAATATACAAGCTGGTTTTATTTCTTAGAATTCCTTTCAACTGTGTACATCCTAAATGATTTCAGAATATATAAGATTCGAAATTACTCTTTTCTCACAATTACTTCGAGTTATAGATAAGAAATATGATTTGATATAAGAATAAAACTTGTGCACTGTGGTGGTAGAGTATAATTCCATTATCGGTAAAATTTATTTTGATAAAGTCTCACAGTGTTATACAGTAAGTAATATTTACTGATGACCATGTTTCGAGTACAGTTTATCACTGCTTATAATCATATCAAGACACTACTCACACAACTTTCTAACTTCGTTGATATAATTCCATTATTTCAATTCATCGCTTGACTTGATTTGTAGTAGACCTAAATGATGAAATAAAACAGATAGAAGAAGTGTTGATATCAAATAACTATCCTATAAGATTCATTGGGAAGATCGGTCGGTCGGTTTTCGACATAGAACTGTGCACTGATGTGCGGCAGTTCAAGTCACCACACTCCATGCAGCACACAAAGCAAGAGAAGAAAGTAGAAGAAATGCATATTAGAGACAGTAAACAGAGGTGTGAGACAAAGGAATAGTAATAACGAAGAACAAAACAGTTTCATTGGAAATCATAAGTCACAAGGAGTGGATGCATCTGCGCCAGTCACTGAGAACGATTTTGAGCCATGTCACCAATTGTTTCCAACCATTGGTTTTTACCGTCCCTAGGACCCCAACCAGGAAGTCTACATCTTCCTACGTGGCGTAGACTAACTGTTTTGGATTTCATTGAGTGGTGCCATGTTTCCGTTTGACCGCCGCTAGCTCTTTTCCAGCCTGGTCCTATATCAGCTAACATTGCCCATTGTCAAGGAAGGCGATGACTGGGCATACGTAGCACATGTCCTAACCATCTCAGTCGATGTAATTTCACAGTTTCGTCGACTGATTTCCCCGCCTAACCTAGCACTCGACGTCTAAATAATCAACATAATGTCAAAAGCAAAATAAAAAATAATAGGGAAACTAATAACGATAACATGAATAAGAAAGAATATGAGGCCTCTACTTTTATACCATATAAGGAGGGGACATCTGAGACCCTACGTAGGATTCTCAATTAAGCAGGAATTAGAGTGGTGGCATTTAAACCTACAAACTCACTCAGGTAGGACGAGTTCTGTAGGTTAAAATACCCAGTTGACCCAATTAGACAAAGTAATATAATTTACAATATACCCTGCAATGACTGTGAGGTCAACTACATAGGTCAAACTAGTAGGTCACGGGTAGTTAGATTGTCGGAACATAAGAATTTAGCTAGAATAAGAATGGTTGACCCCACCCGAGAAGATAAGTAATTTAGAAAAAAGCTCAGCACTACATTGCACTGCATGCATTAACAACGCACAACCACACATTAGGGTGGGAGAGGGTTAAAATTCTAAAAAGTAATCTAGGTAGGTGGAGAGAAAGAGAGTGGTTGATTACTGAATCCTTGTTCATCGAGTCTACACACCCAACACATGCAATAGGAATGACTCATCACTCATAGTCAATAATTCCGAAGAAAGGGTGATGTAAGTAAACGAATTGTCCAGTGTTGAAAGATTATTTATAGTATAGTTAGACAAAAGGAGTGGGGGTGGGGGTAAAGTTCAGTTTTAGCTTGGAAACAAGAATAGACTAGACATAATATAGAAGATTGAATTTAGACATATTGTGATGGAGAGTTCAATAGGGTGGGAGGGAAATAGTAAAGGTAACATTATGACATATACAAACAATTAAGTAAAT